CCTCTTCCAGGGTTGGGATCAGTTTTAAAGCACGCTGTGCCCTCCTGAATTGATGGGTACTTTGGGCTATGTTCAAATTGCAAGTTGCAGGCCAGATGGATTAAAATTAATTTTGCATCTGAACCCTCCTCCTTTGGGCTCCACACCTGGCAGGTGACCCTCAAAAGAATTAGTAAGTTGTGTGTCTTTCTACAGCCTTTCCCTTTGATTATTTATTTATTTATTTACCCCTGGGCTACAAATAAGCTGTCTAACACCCTCAAGATGTTCAGAAAATGCTGCCTTAACACACAGTGGCAGATGCTTCACTGGCTGCTTTGAATTCCAGGTCCTGCGATCGATCCTTTTTGGTACGTGGGCCGTGGTGTTCGCCCCATCGGTCGGTTCGGGAAGAGGCAGCTGAGAAGCAGCCGTGGCAGCCTGAGGCCCGTGAGCAGGCACCTGGATTTCATCTTGAACGCTTTGTGGGAGCAAAAAGTGTCGGACACAGAAGACAATGACTGGTGATGCCCATTCCCCGAGGTGCTGACCCAACCTCTGCGATTCGAATTGCACCCTCCCCTGCACCTCAGACCTCCAGTTCTGCTTTTGCCAAGCAATCCCACGCTGCTCTTCTTTCTGCTCCTTGTGCAAATTCCTTCAAAAAGAAACATATCCAGGGTGCAGGTAAAAGACAACTCATGGACACTAGCACTGAGTGAAACCATAGCTTATAAAAATGGGTTTTTTTAACCTTACATCCCCACCAATCCCTTGATGCTGTTCACTGTAATGTTTAGGTTTACCCAAAAACCACACAGCTTTTGTGCAGGGATTTCAACTCTTCAGTGTTAAGCGTATCATGAAGCCTTCCCGTCACATTTCAAAGTCAATGGCTGTTGAGATGTAAAAATAAAAAGCAATGGTTGGAAGAAAGAAAAAAGGCTCTCACTAATTTTTAACGTACCTGCATTAATGGCATGGAATGCTGGTGCTCTCTGTGTAGTTTTTATCTAGATTGTTAATACCCACTCACAGGAAGGCAGCCCTGAACTACCCACTGCCTCGCTATGAGTTCTTCCTGCACTGCTGGAGAGATGTATTAATGAACAAAACCAAACTCCTACCAAAGAGAGGTATTTTCTCCCTGCTTAAGAAAAAAAAAATAAAAATGGCTAATTAAACTCTTCAGAGTAGTTTTGTGCCTAATGCACATACTCATGCACCATTATCCAAAAGGGGTAAGGGCCTAAACTGGCTGATTCCCTTTAAAACCATGTAGTTGTTTGTAAGTAAGTACATTGCCTGACCAAGCTAAAGTCACTCTTTGAGGATCACAAGCAATGAACCATCTACTGCATTAGTCCACATCAATAAGCCAGAGGTTGTGGCTCAATACTAATCTTTGCCGTGGTAATTAACTTTGTTATATTCATTTTATAAGAAGTGCTATTTACAGTATGTCTAATCTTGATTAATAACTATTACCAGCAATAATATTCAAAGGCAGTTTAATCTATGGCTTATATCCAAAAACCATATTTAATAATTTAGCTAATGACTGACAGTTAAATCCAGGCCATGAATTATTCTACAAAAGACAAATTAGAATGAACTTGCATTTCTAGTTGTGCTTTTTAGAATTACTACTAAAATTTAATAGTGGTTGAATTAATTAGTGCAGATAATTTAACCCTTTTTTCCTCTTTGTGAATGGTCTGTCAGCAAGGAGTGGATTTTTATTATAAGAAGATAGTTATTCCTATTTATAATACAACATGTAACACCCAAAGTGTTACTTAAACACGCTGGTTTAAATGAACGGCCTGATGGTGGAGAAAATATGCTGATAAATATTTTGATCAGCAGTCACTGCATGTGACTTTGGAAACAAGAGACTAAGATTATCAGCAGGGTTCCTGCTCAGTTTGTCATTTTGCAGCGACCCCATGAGAGCTACAGAAATTCTGTTTGAGATGGATGGTAACTCACCCAACAGACTCACCAGTTTGGAGGAGATTAACCATCACATGTTCCTGACAGGATCCCTCCCACCCCAGCCCCAGTGGAAAAAACCTGACCCGCGGGCGTTACCGTCTGCTCCTCCCCTCCTCTAACCCAGGTCATTCTCTGGAGCTGGAAGTCTCCCGGGTTTAACAGGGGACAGGCAGGACATGAGCACTGTCTGCGGCAGCACGTTCTGCACGCTTCCTGGCCAAAATGCACAGAAATCCAAACAACAGAGAAGAACTTTTGGTTTTTCTTTATGAATCAAGTCCTTGAAAAGGCATTCTTTTCATAAATCGCTTTTACTCTGTTATAATTTCTCTTGACAATAATTCTTGGTGAGTATGCAGATAACAACAACAAGGCAAGCTTAATATTCACTCAGACTTAATCAAATAGATCATATAGTCTTCATTTTACCCATTAAAATATTCTCATTTATAAAAATTAATCTAAATATAAATATTAACACTAAAGATTGAAATCACTTGATGACAAAATAATTCTTTGTGTGCTATAACATATGCTTTTATGATTTTTTTTAAAACAGTAAATTATATCTTTGCACATATTTGGCACAATAAACATTTGTAAAAATTCAAATGCCTTATAGCAGGTGGGATTTTTTTTTTTTTTCTGCAATGCCTACACAGTACACATTTTTCTGTCAAAGAAGACTGAATATTTTAACATTGTAACACGATAATAGTTGCTTTTCATGCCTCTTAAGGAAAACAGCCTATTCCAAACTTTGTTGGCTTGTTTAAATCACACTAACAGAACAAAAGCCAAAGATTTATTCTATTAAAATTAGTAATTTCTGTATTGATATTACATACACAATATTAGTTATTATTTATTAGACAAATATGTAGACCAACCACCATTAATGACATTTCATAACACGCATACCTGCATAAACCAGAACCTGGGAATGTATTGTACACATACACGAGAACAGTCAAGGAAGGGGAAGGAAATGGGATTAACAAAAAAAATACTAGGCATCCTTCTCTGTTTAATCTCCTTTACTGGATTGCATATATAAATAAAATCTATTTGTCTGATGTATGTTAAACAGAGTGGGCCAAATTCTGCCCTCACATCTGTGCAAACCAATTCCAGAGAACGCGTGTGAGAGTAAAGGCGCAATTTCACCCAGAATTAACACATCGGGTCGGATCTTGGGCAGATGGAAATTCCCCGAAGGGATGGGGCGAAGCTCATGTATTCTAGGTGGGAAGATGGTTGTATTTATTCTGAGGGTTCCTTAGGTGCAGCTGGACATCAGTTTACTGACAAGCTTGATGTCAAATGTGGGTGGCAGATTTGCAACTGACACTGTTTTTCCAACTGTCCCATCCAGTCACGCCTTGCCTTCCTCACCTGCCTCCCTAAATCCAGCCTAGCCAGGAAATTTGCCCAGTTTGGCTCATATTTGCCCAACCATAGACCATTTCATGGCCTGGTGCCCCAGGGGACTGTTGTCCTGCCACATGGCAGCTCATGTGCAGCACTCTGCTAGTGGGTGTTTGCTGGGGTTGCAGGGAAAGGAGCAGCTCTGCCCTTCCCTGGTACCCACTGCTCTCAGGAGAGCTCACTGCTCCCTGATGCTTTGGGGAACTGGCCAGTCCATGTCCGACTTCACAGCACATCAACCCCGTCTGCATTTGGGTACCTGCTCTGCACTTTGTGTGGAAGATAAGGGATTCACTGGCTTATCACCTCCTCTACCTCCCTCCTTTGTGTTCTTCAGAGCAAAACGTACCACAAAGTGGCAAAGTCCTCCCGAAAAAGGGTGAGAGGCACACCCTGTAAGCAGCATCTTCCCTCCTGAGCATCTGCTCAAGGGCCTTCCAGTTTGGCTCACCTTTCAAAGGTCTCAAGAAATGAAAGAAGAAATTTTACTGCTCACAATGCAATTCAGAGTGGTCCAATGGTAGTGGGGTACGCGTGGCACCAGTGACAGGCCACAGCTGCTCCATGTTGGCTACAGACTAGTAAAGGAAGAGACATCTGGGCTACATCTTCTCCCTCCTCAGAAAAGCCAGGAAACTGCAGAAGGGAATCTCTTCAGGTTGCAGCCACCCTACAACCACCAGCCAGTCAGCAGAGATCTCATCTACAATCTTTTACTTTCCTTTTCCAATCTTAAAGATTTGGTCAGAATTTATTCTGAACTAAAGCGTGGTTGGGCACCACCAAGTGGACAATGCTACCAAGAAGAACGAGACATACAAAGGTGTGGATTTCACAGCAGTATTCAGATATTTCCAGATGCCAGCATCGTAACTTAACAGACATCTGGTCCACATGTGCTGCCACCAGTTCACGGCTCAACATGACATCCATGTTCCCTCCTGCTGCCGAGAGCAAAATACCTCGCTCTGGAACTAGAACATGAACTCTGCCAAACATACCCTCAGTGAACAGAGAAATCTTTGCACATCGCATCTCCTCCTACAAACCCTGTCAAAACTTCCACCGACTCCCTGGGAGCAGAGCTGATTCTCCACTCCCACCACCCAGCTGAAGAGCAGCGTACACTGCACAGCATTGTTCTTATTGCTCGACAAGATGGAGGTCTATGTGAATAGGAAGAGGTCAGCAAATATGGATCACAGGTCTGCTTTGTTCTTTCTTTTTGTACGAAATATTGGCCTATAATTATGATTGACTGAGTCTACAAAAACATACTGCAGTTTAAAGACGACATACTGTAGTACAATCAATGGGGAGAAAAAGTGCATCTTAAAATGTGGAGCCTTGCTTTGAAACTCAGCATCCTTTCTAGAGTCTTGTGAGAACTTTAAGGCAGAGTTTCCTTTAGCAGACCACAATGCTGAAGACTTGGACAGCTTTCTCAGTGAGGTATCCAAACGAAGCCCTATAACTGAGGCATTGTGGGTTCTTGAGGGTCCATTTTCAGCTGGACATACACGATGGCTGTTAAGTAAAGGCACTCTAGTGTACAGCCTTAGGCAGTGTGTTATTGGCAGTAGGGAAGTGTAAGTTTAGTACATCACAGCAGATCCTATAGCAGGTTCCTAGAACAGAGAGGGACAGGAAAGAAAAAAAAACCATGAACAAAACACAAAACAAGCTTGCTGAAGCTTCTAGGGAGCCAGGTCCTTCCCCTTCTCATCTCCCTGCCTATTTTCCACATATCTAGTGGCAGACTGCTTCAGGAGAGTCAGCTTTTTACCTTATCCTTCTACAGCTGCTCTAGAAGAAATGACTGACAGCTGTATGGTGAAGCCTGTTTGTTCAAACCCTGCAGTGGCCTGTCTACCCCTTCAATTCCACTGAGGCAACCTCTGAACGTTTCTCAAAGATTAGTGTGACTCACCCGCTGAGTTACAGCGTTCTGCTGGCTCTGCAAGGGGCTGGTTCAGAAGTCTGAATTGCAGGGGACCACTGATTTATTTATTAATTTCATTTTTAAATAAGGGTAGGACATTCCTGGAGACCTGACAGCCAGAATACATTCAGACAGGCTGACCCTCAGGACTGCACAGCTGCTATACTGTGGCATACATCAGATACCTTCCATGGACACTGGTCGTCAGAGCGGTCTCTATTCTTTTTTCCTCAAACTATCAGGAGAAGTTTTGTGAAGATGCTGAAATACAGCTGCCTACACAGATATCACTGTCTCTCTATTTACTCCTTTAAATGGCAGTTTTAAAAACATTTGTTAGGAGTTTACCGTTAAGTCCTTGGCAGTGCTTTTCCTGTCTTTAGTTCTTCGTGTTAGAGAACCTTGAAGCACAAAGTTTCTGTTAAACGTTCTGACAGCAGCTACTGGAGAACCACCTGGTTTTTCACCTGGGAAAAATACAAAAAGGGAGACTTTTCACATAACAGATCGAAGCAGATGTAACAATACTCCTGAAGAGTTACAATTTCTAGAGAGATGAAACTTCCCCTAAGACACATGAGGGAAGCTGGATTTAATTTAAATGAAAAACAGCAGGCTGTGATACTCCAAATTTATTGAAGTTTGAGGCCATGTCAATCAGTGGAATTACACAAGAGTAAAATAAGAGTAATGCAAGGTGAAGCAGGCCCTAGAATTGTCAAAGATAACGCACTGAGGGGTTAAAAAAGGAGAAAACATGAAAGAAAAAAGCACTTTGTTTTATAAAGCCAATTCACAGCCTGTCCTGGTTTTTGCTGAGCCACATCACATGGACTGAAATCAGCTGACACAGGCTTAAAGAAAACAACAGTGGGTTGTGAAGGCTGGCAAGTGGCTTTTGGTATTTAAACACTGGGGCTGCTGGAGCCTCACAGCCTGACCCCAGGCTCACCAGAGTAGCAGTGTCCCTGGAGCCTCACAGCCTGACCCCAGGCTCACCAGAGTAGCAGTGTCCCTGGAGCCTCACAGCCTGACCCCAGGCACACCAGAGTAGCAATGACCCTGGAGCCTCACAGCCTGACCCCAGGCTCCCCAGAGTAGCAGTGGCCCTGGAGCCTCACAGCCTGACCCCAGGCTCACCAGAGTAGCAGTGGCCCTGCTGCAGGACAAGTAGTCAGCATTTTGCATTTGCTTTTCCCAGCCTTCTGCTTCTGCTCCTATTTGCCTCTGTCACAGCTCCAAAGAAAGAGAAAGTAGTGATGCTTTTTAATGTGACAAATGGGGTTTTTATGTAACGCAAGTACAATGGGAAATGAGGAGGGTAGACATATTTAGGCTTTCTCTGTTTATTTTATAACTTAATCTTTCCCCTGCTTCGCTGAACTGTGCATTATATTGACCCTTATAACATAGGTAACAACTTAAGTGCACCTTTTATTGGTGGAGCTGGAAGTTTTCTCCTCTGCTGTCTCGATGTGTCTATTGTATGCATCTGTAAACAACACACATGCATTACTCAACTCCATTACAGAAAAAAGGGCAAGATTTCCCCAATGTATTTTTGAATACTACATAATGTTCTGGCACCTGGTTCGTTTGCTTTTGATCCCGTTTCCTTGTCAGGCGAACACATGGAGCCACGTTCAAGCCTGCAACAGTGAGAGCTGATATTCTGCTCTCAATATCTGAAATCTTCAAAGAAAATAAAAAAAGAGAGACAGACAGATGGGGAGGGGGAAAAAGAAGTTTTAAAATTACTGTGGATACCACTACTAAAATATATCCCTCCCCCAGCCAAATTCTCTAATCAAAATATATCAACAGAGGGCTAACTTCTCCAGCAATTCTGACACTTCCCTGTATTCTTTAGTCCTGATGTTAAAAGGGGCTTAAATTGTTAGTAAAGATGGTGTAAAAGAACAATCCAACCTACCATGTGACTCCAAGGAAGAGGCAATTTACTCCTTTTGAGGGAAAAAAGAAAGAAGGAGAGAAAACTCCCATCTGCCATCTCCCAGTTACCTTTAGCTGCATAATCCCAAATTGATTCAAGCTGTGTTTTCCAAAGGCTACTTTCAAACAATGACTTTGTGGGACACGTTTCATAATTCTAAATTAATTTCATGCACACACGCAAAGTATATCCTCTGTCACAAAATCTAAACATTCGATTTTAAATATTTATAATTTAAGTGTATGTGTATGTTAAACACAAACATATGTAAATGCAGGTACACACTAGAGATGCTCAATAGAAAAAAAAATTGCTAGGAAAAACAGAAGTCCAAGAAAGCAAACATCTGGGGCAAAAGCAGGCTGATGTTGAGACTAGCAGAAACCAATGTTGCCCAAAGGGAAAGAAGTGCCAGAGGAGTCAGATATATAACCCAACTCCTGATTAATGGTGACACCTGAAGCTGTTCACTCTGCAGAAAACCTTCAGTTGGCTTCTTTGTCATCCTCCTTGCATAGCTTAGACCTCTCTCCTCCTCATGTCTCACCCTTATTAACATTTACTGTAAAATAATGACCGAAGCCAAGACAATGTCACTGGTAGTTCACCATCTAGTGCAGCAGTGCACTTCTGACATCAGAGACATGTCAGACCCTCAGATCTTTGCTCAGTTCTAAATTGAGCATGCTACTGCTGAGTAAAATAACCAGGTACTTCCCATTAAAGCCTGGCACAGGCAGGTCAGAGTTCCTCCTTGCCTGGAACAGACCGGTCAGTGAAATCATTGGCAGTGAGTTGCTGTCAGCGTTAGCCCCTTGAGATCTGGCAGTGTTACCTCATTCAGCTTTTAGCATCAGATCATGATGTTCTCTTCTGAGCCCCAGACTTTCTAGAGTCCACAAGAAATACACTAGGTCGCAGCCCACAAGAGCAACTGCCTTTTGGCTGGGATGTGTGTGGCTAAATCTCAAAACAGGCTTGCAAGTGCGAGGCTCTGTGCTTGGCTCAGTGGCTGGCTGGCTGCCCTTGGCCTTTTTCAGTAGACACTGGCTTCTTTCAGGAAGTGCTTTACAATCTGCTGATCAGATAAACTGCCTCAGACTGTATTTGCAGTCTGACCACAGCCATGTGTGTGACAGTATTACCACGTGAGCTGTCTGGCAGCAAGCAGCAGGCTCAGTATTAGTGTTGCAGTCACAGGTCATTGCACTCCCATGTCCAAAAACAAGCTGGGGGAAGAAACAAACAAATACAGAACATCTGGCTGGGCTGAGTTACAAATCTCAGTTAAGCTTTGCTCAGCTCCTGTGACGCAGTCAGCATCCCTGGATCATCAGCCTGCTGCGGTACCAAAGAATATTGAATGCAGGTGGGCACAGACAAAAGGTAAGTGCTAGGCAAGGCGGTGTGAAACCTGCAGGTAGGGAGGAGCTGCTGTCCTCACCTGAAGCTCTGCGTGATGAACCTGGGCGGCTGCTGTGGCCACCTGATCCTCCAGATTGGCCAGCTCAGATTCTGCAGTGACACTGTTGATCTTGCGTGCGGCATCCTCCAGGTTGGTCAGCTGCCCCTCCAGCCCGTAGACGGTGCCGGCTGTCAAGTACACCTGCAGGGCCAAGGCAGGGAGAGGGCTCAGGGATTTCTGGTTTGTGGGCAGGGAGTTTTGAGCAGACTCCATGATGTCTTTGAGCTTCCCTCTTTGCTAACCCACTACAGGGAGATTTAACCTGGCAGAGGAAAGTCGTGAGGGAATAATCTGAAAACACACATCCACAAACAGAACGGAGGTGTGAAGTGGCTGCACTCCAAATTTCATACGTACTACCATGGTATTCCAAACCAGATTTGTTCCAGATTCACCAGTAAAAAAAAAAAAAAAAAAAAGCTGAAAAGTGTGCTTTTAAAAATTTTTAATATGCAGTTGCGTAATAAAAACCCTGATATCTACAAGGGGAAGTCAACAGACCACACCTCATATAAAGCTGTGTTTATTGAAACATGCCTAGTACCTTCTGGCAATCGAAACTGTGTAAAAATAACTGTTCTACAACATATGGTTATTAACTTCTTAAGGAGTAATTGTGCTTACATGTACAACACAGTTTTCCATCCCATCCTGCCCTCACCCAAATATACAGCAGCCACACTCCTGGCCCTTTGGAGTGAATCTGTGCAGGGTCAATAGACTTATCTGGACATCTGTCTTATCTGTCTTATCTAGACATAAAAGACAATAAGAGACTTCATCATTTAGAGATCTTTCCTAAAAACAAACAACATTTAGTATTTGACCCACCTACAATACCTCTGGTAACTGCAGGTAAAGGTTTCATTTCCCAGTCAGCTCCTTGGAGCAATAGTTCATGATACCCTGTGTTTTACGTCTTTCTTTTATTTCAGAAAGAAATCTAAGGTACATGGTTGGATGGAGGTGTCTGGTTTATAGAAAAGTGCAATTTTCAAGCATTAGCTTTTGACATCTGTGCTTAAAATTGTGCAGACCTATGTGTAAACACTGCACGTTCTGCCTATTTACTAGACAGCCAAGAGACTGTTTCCATCAGGCTGGTAACAGCACAGTGGAAATGAAATAGATCCTGTGATTTTACTCACTGGCAGCCTCACTCACTCCAATAGCAGTAAAGACTCTGGCGCGACAGAACTAGCATGAATGAAACATATTCTGCGGCTGACTTCACGGTTCAAGGGGCAAGCAAACAGGATCTGAAACAGACACCTTCACTTCATACCTATTTTCCACTCAAGTTATTATATCTGCCCACAATTCCTAGACCATGCAGTTCTCTGACACAACAGGTATCCAAATAATTTCTGTCCATGCTTTTATAGATCAAAAGTGGTGGAGAATGACTAGATTATGATTTAAATAAGTGTTTTCTTTTAATTATTTTTAATTTTATTATTGTTTCTTAATTGTTTGCAATAGTTCTTTTTCCTCTTTATAACAGTTGTTACAAAGTGTAAATGTATATACATTTTTTTTCATGTATGTGACTTTGCTAAGAAACAAATTCACTACATCTTGTATGAACTGCATCTTGTAAGAGCACAGTCTAATTGCAGACACGAAATCTTTCAAAATGTACCTAGAACAATTAAGTGATCTGATTTAACATCTTTGCTGAAGTACTTGGAGGCACAGGTGGGCCATAAAGTTAACATGCTGATTGAAACAGAAATGCTCCTCCTTTTGTGGGTTTTAATTATTCTTTCCATTCATTTAAATGATACATCTTTGTGGTGCTACATACCACAGCCGCTTCGGATTAAAAGGTGATTTTAAAAAGTTCCCTATCATGTCTAAAAGCTCTGAGGAAGAAGAAAAAGGAACATTATGAACAGAAACATATTTAGAAAGTTAAAGAAAACATTTAAATGCTGTGCAAAAATTCTCTTCACAGTAAGTTGTACTTTTCAAAAGGGGAAAAAGATCTAAAGAAAATAGGACTAATAGAAAAATGTGGGAAGGGAAGGTCATCAATGTTTTTGTAACTCAATTAGCCCCTACATTTGTTAAATTTTAATTTTATTGAACATCTTAAAGGTAGACCTAAATAAAAATTTTTTGTCCAGAATATTCTCTTTACCTGAACAATTGTGCTTCCAAACAGCAGTGGGGTACTTGCAGGTCTCCACTAAATTATGCCCTTATGCAGACATTCACATTTAGATTGTGGAGATTTATTTTACTACCATTCAGGTAAGCACAGCTTCCACTAAAGCTCAACTCACCTGACCCTGTGCTGGTACCTGTGGCCCTACATTCTCCCTACTGATGCGTGCACCATCTGAAATGCTACAGAGAGCAAAAAATGAACAAGGTGTCTATATATATACCCAAATCCTCTTCCAAAATTTGCTGCAAAGAGGATGTGCTGCATGCAGATATACCCCCAGCTGCAATGGGAAAAGTTATGGATTCCTGGATTTCTAAGACTCTTTACATTTGCTATGGAGTGTAGTGGTGAAATCTTGAAACCATGAAATATTGCCATCTACTTCAAATTCTGTGTGGGTCAGAGAAAGACGTAGTGTGGGGACACAGCAAGGCTGAGCTGGATACCTTATGAAGTATGCAGGGAACTGGGAGAAACTAAACCAGGTTTATACGCTGCAAGGAGGCAACACCACAGCATGAAATGCTCTGCCTCAGTGCCCAGCCTCTGCTCAGTGGGGAAATGCTCAGCCTGGACAAATGACTAGGGACCATGGCACCACAGATGCCAAAGCTCCACAAGGACAGGAGAGATTGTCAGAGTGTAACCGGGGAGAAAAAATGCACCTCAGATACTTTACAACACAGTTCTCCACAGAAAAGACGTGGTAGGAACTCTCTCCAAACTGCTCTGTCCTCTTGAAGGAATTTCTTAGTTTTTCTAAAGACATGGTCCAGCATGGACTTAGATTTTTGTTCTGTATTCACTCTGCTGGCAAATGTGTTCTGTGGTGTGTGGAGCTAGGATGCTTCAGTACTTCACAGGGGAGAAACACCTCCATCTACCAACTTCTATTATTCAAAAAAATATTAATCAAACTCAACCAGAAGTTGTTGTGGGGGTGCATCTGTCATGTAAGAATGAAATGGCTATCATGGTAGGTGCCATGAGGACGGTACTTTGCTCACCACAAGCTCAAGTTATACCCTTCTCTGGGCACTACAGCAGCAACTGCTGTGGGAACCCTTCACCCTTCTGCAAATGAGCTGCCACGCATCCAGCATCTCCTGGACATGTCCTCCTGTCCTGTCCCCACCAGCCCCACTGAGGAGGACTCACAAACCTATTTTGCTTGTTTGAGTTCCCCTCCCAGAGGGGAGCTGGGAGCCTGGCTGCTGGGTGGAGAGCTCCATGGCAGGGCAAGCTCAGGTGGCTGTGGTGCTCCATGATGGAGGGCAGGAGATGGCAGCAACCAGGACAGTGGGTGGGAGTGAGGAGAAGCAGAAGCACCTCAGCTGGCACAGTGGGATGCCTGGGAAGGCTGAGCAGAGGTGGCAGGGAGAGGTTTGGAGGTCAGATTATGATCAGGAGCTGGTTGGTGAGGAGTGAAGGTGCTCTGGGGTGTGCTGGAGGGCATCCTGCTGGTGTGGTCAGAGGGAAAGGTCTGAGGTGGAAAGGGTTTTGGAGCAGATGAAAATTAGGATGGGTAGGATCTAGCTTGGGAACCTCCAAACTGATAAAAGGGCTGGGAGATTTGAGCTTAGAAAAGGTGTGATGAGAGGGACCAGGGAGTTGTGGGACTTCTGGGAGGGCTCTGGAGTAGGATAGGACAGGCCCAGCAGAAGGAGTGGCTGGCATTGCCATGAATTATCTCCCCCTCAGCCCCTAGCCTGAGGCTGTTGTGGAAGTACATTTCTGTGAAGGAAACTGATTTTATCTCCCAAGAAGAGATTCTGTCTTTGAAAATTTTCCATGGGCTAAAGAAAACCAGGATCAAAATAGATTGATCAGGATGTTACAATGGAACAATCCAGATTCCTACGAGATCTTTAAAAGCTCCTCATGAAGGGGAAAATCACTGAAATGTAATCAGTTAAATGTGGGAAGAAGAGAAAATCGAAAGTTACAAGTGTACCAACGCTATTAAGTGGATGCATAAAAACTTCTAATGAGCAGTGACTTCCTTCTGTGAGTCAACATTACAGGTGACAGGTACTCCTGAAAAAGGACGGGTGATTTGGACATGGTCAAACAGAAATGTTTGTTTAATTCAGCTTCTCCAGCCTGCTCTTTCTAAGAGTGAAGCAGGTGGCTCCGGCTCCCTGGGTACTCAGCACAGCATGCCAAGGAAGTGTGGGTGGAGGAATTGTGCCTCCACTTTTTCCCTCTGTGGCTGGGGGAAAGCTTTCCCTATCCCTACCTGTCCTTACAACGATGAGGCTGTGCTGGGACTTGGAGACGTGTGGTGTCAGCAAGGCACGGCACAGCCGCACAGCCCCAGAGGTTTGGAGGGCTTAAGTTAACTTCTGATGTAGGGATTCTAAAATTAGTTGTAAAATCCAACACATTCCAACTCGCCTCCTCCCCCAAATGTTTTCAAGCATGCATTGAAAAAACCCCAACACCACAGCTGAGTACCCCTTTGAAAAAGGATTTTCTGTTCGGTTTGTGTATTTGTTTAATAACCCCAAATTAATACTGAACTGCTGCTGCTGCTGCCTTTGCGCTTTCCCTTTCCAGACAGCACACACACATAGGTACACTCACTCATGCATGGCACTTGCACCCACTGATTCGTGTTCTTACGTTTTCCTCCAGTGTGGTGAGCTGCTCATCGAGTCTGACGGGGTCCGTCCCCAGCGGGAACGTCCCTCTTGCTCTCTCCTGAACATCAGCTGGGAAATCGCAGGGACCGGTGGATTCTGCTATCAGCTCTTCAGTGGCATTGATGACTTTCAGGACCTCTGTAGATATGTTGCAGAGAGAGACAGCAGAGTACTTCTGTTTTGTTACAAGAGTAGATAGAGAAAACAACAGCATTAAATTAGCACAGAGGGGTAATAGGTAAAATCAACTTGCTAACAGCTGTCGCTTTAGCCATAGCCATGTAAAACAATATACCTGGCTAACTGCTGTGGACAGACACAAGATCTGTGGGATGAAATTGGGATATAGTTCTCTTTTTCTCCCTCCCTTTTTCACCTATGCACACTGATACAGCATGCAAAGTATCACACACACGCAGTTCCTCCACAACACAGTTTCTGCTGGAGGAACGGTCCAAATCTTATCACAAAGGAGCACACAAATATCCACCTTTAAAATCGAGTTGGGTATATTTGCGATAGTGCTTTAAATAGGTTTTAAAACACTGTTGTCCTCTTTGGGTACTGGTGGATATGGAACAGATGTGGAATCATCTGTCTCCATACCCACAGGAGCTATCACATTGCAGCCACAACCATGGGAGAGCAATCTTCAGCAGTTTACAAAGGTGTTTGCTATGAATTATATGATACCCCTAAAAAACCAAAGGTTGTGCTATAAGCATGTAAACACTTGTATCTTGATTTAAAAGAAAAAATAAATTTAGCTTTTTTTAATATTTATGAAATAAATTATATCAAATACCAAGTAAAAGCATTTTATCTGATGGGTTTTTTTTGTTTTGGTTTGTTTTTTTTTTAAACAGCTGTAAGCCTCTTTATATTTTGTTTTGTTTTGTTTTGTTTTTTAAACAGCTGTAAGCCTCTTTAGCAGTGTTCCTGATTTGTAATTTGGAATTAACTATTCTGATCAGTCTCACAGTGCTTTAGGCTTCAGGACAACTCCTTTGATGGCAATAAAATTTCACCTGACACACCCTCAAGGATCAAACTCAACATCCAAAATACACAATTTGAAGATTGAGCCCAAGCTTGTTGAAGCCAATAGAAATACAGTCACTGAATTTATGTGTGAGACCCTTAGTATTGCTTTGCCTAAAAGAAAGAAAGGAAGTTTAGATCTAAATTTAGATCTAAATTAGATCTAAATAAGCCTGCAGATACTTATGCATGTAAATTAGGGGCCCACCCCTCTGTAAATTTTTCCACAAACAAAATATCTGAGGATCAAAACTGAGGAAACAGACAGTCTTTGGATTCTATATAATAAATTCTACACTACAGAAAAGTATAACTGATTAAAAACATCTATGTGTTATGCAAACATCGTATAAATCAATGTCAGTTGGCCTCCGAGGCAGGATATAGGAGAAATAATGTTCCTTTGCTTCACACAAACTCTGGTGGGTTTAACTGGAAAACCTCTTTTATTATCTCTTTCCTAGAGTTAGTTGTTCGTTTTTATCTTAGATAAGACTTTTACTGAAAAACTACTTTTTTTAGCAGTGTGTACTCAACTGTTGTATATCAATACATTAAGGCATCTTTAGCAGTGTTATTTCTCTGAATTACAAGCAATAATTAGATATGTGAGATGAAAGAGAAGGAGAACAAAGCAAATACAGTATGCTACAGCACACAGACCTTCAGCTGGTTAGGAGAGCCAACAAAGTCCTGAACAAGCAGGCCTAGGACTCTCTTACTGAGAACAAATACTTGAACCCCGTAAGTAGCCTACTGTTTTTTCCATTTATTTTCACAAGTGCCAATTAGGTTAAAAACAGATCAATAATTTCATAGGACAGAAGAGGAAATCAATGTTACTTTGTTTTATTATTTGCTTTCACAAGTACCTAATTCTTATTCTATTCTATGAGTAGTGAACAAAAAAGGATAAAGGCCAGACACTACATTTTCTTCCTCATCTTCACTGATGTATCTTCTCCACTTCAAGCAACGTAGCCTCCCTTCAGTGTTCATTATTTCTTCAATTTTTTATTATCCTTTGTAGCTAATGATGGTTTTCCAAAAAAGATTAAATTACATTAGAAAAAAGGTGTTCTTATACCAGAATATGGCATTTATTACAGACCAATTACTGCAAAGCAGGTTTTCTGGGGTTTGTTTTCCTGGTAAAGTGTTCTGTGAAAGGAAGCTTTATGAAAGCAAGATTTTGAGTAAAATACCTTCTCAATATGTAATGGATAGGGGAAGAAAAGTTCAACAAAAATGAAATGTGATTTTTAGCTTTTCTAGAATTCTGAGGTAAATTCTTAGTGGCAAATACAGTTTGACTTTTAAAATCAAAGGTTTGCTTCACATTAAACGTTGCACGAGGCAGCTAGATGGATGTTCATAAAGTATTTGTGTCAATGAACATATCTTGATCCTAGCCTGCAGGTATCTAGCAAGACACAGGAGTCCCAACATTAAAGCTTTTCTTTAAGCTTGTGAAACGTGTTTGTTTACAATATAAAAAGATACACCACTAGAATTTAAACACCGTAAAGAAATGCATGGAAAGCAAAAGTGATTTGCCTTAGAGTATATCTGAAGAGTCGATCTCCCAAAAACTAAAAGCACAAGCAATATTTCAATGTATGTAAATCTAAACTTTGTGAAAGTTTTCTGCCAAAGGATATTTATAACTTAGATTTGCTGGGGGCTGCGTTTGTTACAAAGTAGTAGGAAGAGATTAATGTCTGCCTGGGGGAGACAT